CTGAGAAGATGGGCACTGACGCCACAAATGGTTAGGTCCAACGGTTTGTGATCACTATCTCATTCTTTCTTGTCATGAAGGTCTTATATCAGGGAGGTTGAAAACACCACACTCTGGGTGATAACCTTGGCAATAATTTTACAGAAGATGCAAACAGTTTTTTCTTAATATATTGGCCCTCAGTGAAAAAGAGCAAAGGAAGTGAGGCACGAGTTATGAATTGACTGCCCTTCTGCTCTTCATCCACTCCTCTGCATTCTGCTTTGTGATTCTAGAGCTGGACCCCATAAACATTTCTCCTTTGCCAGCTGGTGTAGAAGGCATAGAAGGGTCACAGTAAGAGGCAGAGTTTTTTCCTTTCTGGTTCCGGGATTTGTTTTTATTTTGTTTTTGTTCTTTTGGCTAATCTGCCAGTGCTGGGTGGAGACCCTTTGTGCCCACTCTCCAGGGAATTTTCCCGACACCAAGACAGTGGCTTCCTGTTGACTTTTGCTGGCACTCTCGTGGGTAGCTTCCTAGTAAATTTTGCTGGCACCCCGAGAGCATCTTCCTTGCCAGAGGCATGCCCACACTCCTGCAGATCTCACTGGTGCTCCTCCGGGAAGTTTCCTGCTCACCAGCCCCAACCTGCCACAGCTCAGCAAACTTCTCGGCTATCCATTGGGTTGCAGCCACACTCCCTCCAGCAAGAGTGGATCAAGAATAAGATAATGATCATGAACTATTGGACCTAACCATTTGTGGCTTCAGTGCCCATGTAATTCTAAGGGGGCGGTTTTTGAGTTTGCCCCTTCCTTGCCTGCTCTGCCTTAGCTTAGAGATTGTGGCTGCTCTCTACGTTTGCCATTCCTGCATTCTTTAGCGTTCTCCTTATCCACTTTAGCAGTTCATACCCTTTTATTAGTTAATAACTCTTTATATTTAATGTTCATTGTTCAAACTACTGGTGTGGTTTCTGTCTTGACTATGCTGATTGAAACACACAACATTAAATTTAGTTCAGGGAAGGGTGGGAGAGTGCTAAGATGATGCCTTTTTTAGAGATCCTACTTGATATTGAGGAATAGGTATTAGACGAAGAGCTAAAAACAGAACTACCATTTGATCCAGCAATCCCACTACTGGGTGTATACCCAGAGGAATATAAATGTGAGTGTTCTTTGCAGCACTATTCACAGTAGCGAAGACATGGAATCAACCTAAACGCCCATCAATGAAAGATCATATAAAGGAAATGTGGTACCGATACACCATGAAATACTATATAGCCATAAAAAAGAATGAGATCAGGTTTCTTGTGGGAATGTGAATGGTTCACTATTATACTTAGTGAACCAACACAGGAACAGAAAACCAAATACCTCATAACATCGCTTATAAGTGGGAGCTAAATGATGAGAACTCATGAACACGAAGAAGGGAAAAACAGACACTGGGGTCTACGTGAGGGTGGAGGGTGGGAGGAGGGAGAGGAGCAGAAAAACTCTCTATAGAGTACTGGGCTGTGATGAAATAATTTGCACAGAAAACACCCATGACACAAGTTTACCTATGTAACAAACCTTCACGTGTACCCCAGAACCTAAAATCAAAGTTAAAAAATATTATTTAAATGAACAATAACAAATTTGGAAAGTTTCTACAAAAGAGAAATGGGTACTAGAATGTTTAGACTTATGATAATTTAATCTGTCCTGTACTACGGCTTCTTCAAATATCAGCTTTCTTAGATTATCAATCCCTCTATCTAATTTTTATTAGCAAATACCATTACAGAAAATTTGTATGGAGAAAAACTAGGACAGTGATAATCCCAAAGAATAGCCATTGTAAGTTCTAAGTAGCACTGCTTCTTGACGGGAAATGTAGAAAACAGCCCATTTTCTTCTGAATTAGTTGTTTGACATTGAGTAGTGGATCTAAGAGGCAAATAACCGCGTCTAATTCAAAGGACCTGAGACCTTCTCATCCTGCCCCCAGATTTCCTTTCCCATACTGGCTGATGCCTAAAATGCCACCTCAGTGCCAACACTTAGTAGCTGTAATACCTGGGAGGACAGATAATACTTGTAAGATACAAGCGTGTTGATTACCCACCCTGGAAATGGAGGTTTTAGATGTCCTTACTGGGAGTGAAACAGTGCTGGCTATTCCCTAACATGGTGTTTCTCAACACACATTGTTCTTTCTGCAGTTTGCTAAAAAGCATCAAAAAAGGATGGGAGGACACTGCTCAATTAAGTTTGAAAAATAGCTGGACTAAAAAACTAAAGCAAGTTTCTCTACCGCAGGGCTTCTCAGAGCCCTTCATATGCTAACAGGCATCACGATCCTGGGTATGGAGTGTTTCTCGAAATGTTTTCATCATGAAACCCCTTCAAAAATTTTCATACAGACACGTATAGGCTAAAAGCTCAGTGAGCATGTTCTGAGAAATGCTTCCTTAGACATACAAATATTACTGTGTGGTCTAGTAGCCCTAAAAATGCTCCCCCCGCCCTGGCTCTGAGGGAGTGTAATTGAATGAGGGATCCAGCTGCTGCACTCTGAGACCCATGTCTGTATTCGTGTCAAGGCTGTGCCCACCATGAGTTGCTCCTACTCCATGACTCTATTAGGGACACTATGACAGGCCCATCCCGTGGAGAGGCACTCCCCGATGGGTGCCTTTGGCACATGCTTCAGCCAAACCTTGCTGCCTTCCCCATTTCCTTCACTTGAGACTAGACATGCTTGTGATCTGATGGCTTTCCCAGCTTCCCCTGGCTCCCTGTGCGGTCCTGTCCTAGGCATTTCTTCTATTACACTTCCTGTATGACAGATCCCGCCTTGGCTTCTGTATCTTGAAAGATTTGGATTAACATAGTCTTGGAAGGAAGGGCATCATTTTCTAAAGAGTCTTGAGTCCTTTGCTTACCATGAAGTGATATTGCAGCATCCCGATCCCTCTCTTTTCTTCTCACCTCCCATTTACCTGTGGCTTGTGTGGACCATCCTTTTGGAATACATAAAGCCACTTAATTCCATCCTACCCGCTTTCTATCATGTTTGGCCAGCTCCTCAGCTCATATGACTTTTTCTATTCCTCACTCTGCTTTGTGCTTCCTCTGCCCTAACCTCACTTCCCACTGTTTCATTTTCTCTCATGCTTTTCCTCTGGAAGCTGAGTTCTGACAATCTCCCTGACATCTTTGATTTATGCTGAGAACATCTTCACTATCTCCTGTCCCTTGAGGATACTCCTTCTCTCTCACATCTGTCTCAGATTGGGAGTCAGAAGGTGACATCCTTGGCCTTGGTGCCACTTTTTGACTATTAATCCCCTTCTAGACATAAAGGAGACTGCTGTGGTCTCCAGCTCTCCGACTATACCACTCTCTGCTCCACCTCACTGCTGTCATCCACGGATGCCTGGTTGCCCCTATTTTATTCAAGACTTGTGTACATGGATAAGGGGCTTCTATTTACCCCAGCTTTCCTCATTATCCTGGTGGCTCAGTGGTCCACGTGGACCCCCATCTGGTGCCCAAGTCTCAGCTTATTAACTCAACTCCCTGGCCTTCGGTCTCTCCACTAATGCCCAGCTGAGATTTTCAGGTTTGTTAACGTTGATTTACCACTGAATACTCACAATAAAATTGCTCACTTATCTGATGACAACTTTTACTCCTTTGGTTTCTCTCACTCCATTTATTCTTTCTGTAACATGTGTTACATCAAGCCCTCCAGCCTCTGACTATCGGCCCCTCCCACAGTCACATCCCTCCTTGCCTAGCTGAGATCCAACAGCCTATCGCTTAGTCATTCTCTTGTCAACACCCTGACCTCTCTGAAGCCCCAGCTTGAGATAAATTCTTTGAGTGTGTGTTTCTGAGAACAGTTGTTTAAAACCACTTAGCAGCTGGGCACAAGCTTGTCATCCCAGCACTTTGGGAGGCTGAGGTGGGCAGATTGCTTGAGCCCAGGAGTTCAAGACCAGCCTGGGCAACATGGCGAGACCCTGTCTCTACAAAATATACAAAATATAGCTGGGGGTGGTGGTGTGTGCCTGTAGTCCCAGCCTCATGAGGCTGGGGTGGGAGGATTGCTTGAGCTCCTGGGGCAGAGATTGCACTGAGCCGTGACTGCTGCTGCACTCCAGCCTGGGTGACAGAGTGAGACCCTGTCTCAAAATAAATAAAAATAAGTAAAACCACTTAGCCATGTGGACAAGATCCGTCGGTAATTTAAGATCTTCATCAAGCTTCCAGAGATCCTTCTAGACTCCCTGGTAACTCTTCTGAGTGTCACAAATTGTCACTTTATTCCATTTTCCATCAACTATTTGAAGGTACTTAAAGCTTCCAGTCTCTTCACTTCCACTCTAACTACCCCTTTCCTCCCAGGAAATGATCTCATCTTCTCCTTTTCTCAGAACCCCTCAACTCCTTGGACCCACCTTCAGATGCAACTGTGGTATGTCTACTTTTCCCTCTGTTCGTGGACAGAGTTGCTTCTCTTACACCAAAGGCTAATCTCTCTCCTTGCACTCTGGATCTCATTCCGTTTAACCTCCATCATTTCTTTCCACATTCTTTGAGTTCCAACTTTTTCCTCTCTATTAGATTATTCAGAATTTTTAAATGCTCAGATCCCTCCCTTAAATAAAGATTACAAACCCACACTTGTCCTAAACAACGTTCTGACCGTTTGCTGTCTCTTCTCCCCTCTTCCCGGCAGCTTCATTCGTTGTCCAAACTCTGTTTCTACTTCACCATGGCTCAGTCCCCACTCTACACCCTGCAGCCTGGCTTCTGCCCCCACTGTTCCACTGAGATTGGTCTCCCTGGGTTCACCCACACATCCTTGTGGTTAAATGTCATCGGCTGCTGGGGCAGCTAATGCATCATGTGCCCGTGAACAGAAAGTATCCAGGATCTCCCAGCTCTCCAGCACTAAGGCAACGACAGCAACAACAAAACCCAAACGTCAGTCCAGCCCACAAACACCATTACATTTAGAGCTTCCAAGCTGAAGCTGTGCGTAAGACTTTTTTGACACCTGTTAAAATGTTACAGAATCTAAAAACATTAACACAGGACTTTGCGGTGAAGATGACAGAGTAAAGCAGGGTAAGCAGACTCTTTCCTCATCTGATATCTCAATGGCCAAAGACTAGTGTTAAACTCTAAAATTTGCTGGCAGCAACTGAGCAAGAAATAGGGCAGAATCTTACATCAAAACGTTGAAACATGGTGCTTTAGAGATATGCCTAAACCCAATCCTACTGGGTTTCCCAATCCTGTGGAAGAAAGAAGGAAAGCAAAGAAACCCTGGGAATTGTCTAATACTCTCCAGTCAGGAGACAAGTGGCCTTGGAGGGTGAGTGCGCATTCCCAGGAGGGAAAACAAAAAGATTGCTTCAGTTTGACTTGAAAAACAAGGAAACAATTTTAAAAAGACAAGACAAGAAAAAAGAATTTAAAAAACGGATTGAGTTAAAGCTCCTACATTCCAGAGGGTAAAAGGGTTTCTAGGACTTTTCATAGTCCAGGACAATGTGCTGAGCTAGGACAATAAGACAGATTCCACAAGAGCAGGATATACTCTTCTATACACTGAATTGGCCCTGGTATAAATGTGTTGCTTATTTAAGATTTTGATTTTTTTTTTTTTTTTGAGTCAGAGTTTCCCTCTTATTACCCAGGCTGGAGTGCAATGGCGCATCTCGGCTCACCACAACCTCCGCCTCCTGGGTTCAGGCAATTCTCCTGCCCCAGCCTCCTGAGTAGCTGGGATTACAGGCACACGCCACCATGCCCAGCTAATTTTTTGTATTTTTAGTAGAGACGGGGTTTCACCATGTTGACCAGGATGGTCTCGATCTCTTGACCTCGTGATCCACCCTCCTCGGCCTCCCAAAGTGCTGGGATTACAGGCTTGAGCCACCATGCCCGGCAAGATTTTGATATTTTATACAAATATTTTTAATGAAATAATGATTTCATGAAATCTTTCAGGGTTCTACTAGTATGTAGAGCTTCGTTAAAGATACACAGAGCTGTACTGGCTCTGCCAGCTATCCCTCATGGCGATCCATCTCCTTGTGTGTCTTGCAGTCTCAACATGAGTGTGTCTTGATCGGGAATTGTTTTCTCTGCAGAAGCTTTTCATGGCTTGAAATGGGAGTGCTCCTTTCCAGAAGAGTTTTGAGTTTGTTTCAGCCAGGAACATTGAGGGTATTCATGGCCTGATATGAATTTTCCCAGCCTGATTTTGGGGTCTTCCATTTTCAGGGTATTACAAACCTATGCATGAAGCACAGTTTTTTTTTTAATTATGATACTTTAAATTCTGGGGTACATGTGCAGATCTTGCAGGTTGGTTACATAGGCATACACATGCCATGGTGGTTTGCTGCCTCCATCCCCCGTCACCTACATTAAGTATTTCTCCCAATGTTATCCCTCCCCAATCTCCCCACCACCTACCATCCCTCCCCTAGCCCCTCACCCCCCAAACAGACCCCAGTGTGTGATGTTCCCCTCCCTGTGTCCATGTGCTCTCATTGTTCAATACCCACTCATGAGTGAGAACATGTGGTGTTTGGTTATCTGTTCTTGTGTTAGTTTGCTGAGAATGATGGTTTCCAGATTCAACCATGTCCCTGCAAAGGACATGAACTCATCCTTTTTTATGGCTGCATAGTATTCCATGGTGTATATGTGCCACATTTTCTTTATCCAGTCTGTCATTGATGGGCATTTGGGTTGGTTCCATGTCTTTGCTATTGTAAACAGTGCCGCAATAAGCATACGTGTGCATGTGTCTTTATAATAGAATGATTTATAATCCTTTGGGTATATCCTAGTAATGGCATTGCTGAGCCAAATGGCATTTCTGTTTCTAGATCCTCGAGGAATCGCCACATTGTCTTCCACAATGGTTGAACTAATTTACACTCCCACCAACAGTGTAAAAGTGTTTCTATTTCTCCACATTCTCTCCAGCATCTGTTGTCTCCTGATTTTTTAATGATCGCCATTCTAACTGGCGTGAGATGGTATCTCAATGTGGTTTTGATTTGAATTTCTCTAATGACCAGTGATAATGAGCATTTTTTCATATGTTTATTGGCTGCATAAATGTCTTCTTTTGAAAAGTATCTGTTCATATCCTTTGCCCACTTTTTGAGGGGGTTGTTGGTTTTTTTCTTGTAAATTTGTTTTAGTTCTTTGCAGATTCTGGACATCAGCCCTTTGTCAGATGGGTAGATTGCAAAATTTTTTCCCATTCTCTTGGTTGCCAGTTCACTCTAATGACTGTTTCTTTTGCTGATGAAGCACAGGTTTTGTGTTCTCAGAGATTTTTCTCCCTACCAGTTAAAGCCTAGGCAAGAACAGATAAGCATTTGTGTTCTCTTCTGCCTGTGGGTGAATTTCTTCTAGTCCCCCTTTTCCCAAGTGCTAGCTTCCGTCAGGATCTCTCAGTTCCAGTTCCCCATATCTCATAGCCTCCAGCCTTGCTGCCTGCCCCATGTTGGAGTTACACTGACATGGCCTTTTTGAATGAATGTGAGCTTTGTTTTGTCTGTATCAGACAGGGACCAAAATGGTCTCTCTCCATTGAGTAGTGTTTCAACGAACATTTGTTGAAAACTGTGGTTCATTTATTCATCTCGTAGGTATTTAGTGCCCACTGTCTTATAAATCTCCCTTTTGCCTTCCCATACCCACTCTACTCTCTACCCAGCTTTATTCCAGGGTTGGGGGGGGCTCACCTTGTTAATAACAGATGCCCCTGTCTTTCAATTTTCAGTTGTGTTTGGTTGATGGGGAATTTTAGGCAGAAGATTGGAGAGCAAGGTGAGGGGAGTCAGGCCCTGGCTCCCTTCTGATGGAGTCTCAGTGGGCTAATGTGTCCCTTGACCTAAGGGCAGCTCTTGTCAGACAGCTTCCCCCGCTGCTTCTTCTGGCCTTGCAGTGGGAATGATGATGTGCTCTCACTGGCATCAGGCACCACACTGTGTATTGTGGCCTTCCTATACCCTGTCCAAATCTTTGTAAGGAATCCTTCATCAAACTCGGCTTAGTTGCCCTATTTAAGTGTGCTATTTGGGGCCAGGTGTGGTGGCTCACGCCTGTAATCCCAGCACTTTGGGAGGCCGAGGTGGGTGGATCACGAGGTCAAGAGATTGAGACGATCCTGGTCAACATGGTGAAACTCCATCTCTACTAAAAATACAAAAAATTAGCTGGGCATGGTGGCGCGTGCCTGTAATCCCAGCTACTCAGGAGGCTGAGGCAGGAGAATTGCCTGAACCCAGGAGGCGGAGGTTGCAGTGAGCCAAGATGGTGCCATTGCACTCCAGCCTGGGTAACAAGAGCGAACCTCCATCTCAGAAAAAAAAAAGGGTGCCATTTGGTTTTTGCCAAGCTCCTGAAAGACATCTCTCCCAAGACCAGGAACTTTGCCAGACCCTGGGGAGAAAATAGTGAACAAAGTGGAACTATCCTGTACCCTCATGGAACTGGCATTCTAGAGAGAGATGCAGGTACAGAGCTGATTATAATTCAGGGAGTCATGTACCAAGTATAGGGAGCACACAGGAGCAATGGGAGCCATCCCAAGGGCACCTGGCCTGGGTCACAAGGGGCAGGGGAAGGTTTCCCAGGATAGGTATCACCTCAGTCAAGGACACATGGATGGGAGATGGCCAGGCAGAGAGTGGGCCTCTTTCTCCCCTCCTCCCTTCCTCCTAATGTCTGCTTTTCAGGTTCTCAAGGGACCATTTACTTGTCTCTCAGAGATGGGGCAAGAAAAGAGAGTGATAGAATTCAAGGTAGTGACATTTTATTACTTATTGGCACTTGTGACTAAGTCTTAGTGAAAGAGAAAATTGAACCAAGTGTCAGATTATTTTAGGTTGGATTCCTGGGAATCCAGGGCTCGGGCTCTCTGAGAGGGAGGGTTGTATGCAGCAGACTTGTGGGGAGGGCTTCCAGGAGACACAGCTGGGAAGGAGAGAACAGGCCAGGACCAGGCAGAGGAAGAAGCTGTCCACAATGTGGTCACAGAGGAGGCCTCAGTTATTCCTACGAGGAATTGTCAATTGAGGGGAGGGTGCCAGGCCTCTGCAACCCCACATTAGCCAGTCATCGGCTCAGTCATCCCTGGGGATGGGGCATTGCCTGGGCAGGCAGCTCCAGTTCCCAGAAAGGTGAGTGGCTGTGAGTCCCAGCACCTCTGTTTCCATCTACAGGGGTTGGGGGGTGGGGGGTGCATTGGCCTGAAGAGGGCATCTGGCCAGAGTCCCACAGCATCCACTGTACAGGCGGAAGGTTCTGAATTTCCTGCAAATTTCATTTACCCTGAATGATAGAGAATGGAAACTGAAGTTTCCAAAGCCACAGTGTCACAAGAACACGGAACCCACAAGTGAGCACACTGATGGAGGAAGTCACGTGTGCAGGAGGTCACACTGCCCTCTCGCTCCCCTAAACTGTGCTGCTGGGGACTCAGCCATCATCATCGGAGTATGAAGTGCCCAGTTTTCACAGGGTCAGTCGGGTTGGGCAGACACTGGTCTGATAGGAATCATCTTAAATTGATAAGAAACGTTTCTTTTATGAATAGAGGTAAAAATTAATATGTAAGTAGCATCCTCATTTAAAAAATATTCACTTAAGTAAAATTAAATGACGACACATTGTAACTGTGCAGGAAAGGGTTTGGGTCTGGTCTTCAGCCCGGGTGGTGAGGCCCCTAAGCTGGGGGCTGTGAAGGCCGTGCTTCTCCCTTCTCAGGGCTCCCCCAGTGACAGTCCTGGAGGCTCCACAGAGGCCCCACAACCTCCTAGCACTTAATGAAGCCAGCTCCTACATCTGTACAATTCCCGTCTCAGCCACACCCTGAAAGACCCCTTCCTACCTGGTAAACCAGGACCTTCAAACTGCAGAGGCTGGTCCTGTCCTCTCTGGACAGTTCAGAGCTTGGGAGCCCAAGTTGCGCTTTTCTAGGGGGAAGGAGGGAACAATACTTTGTATTCTTTTGCCATGAGTGGGCAGAGGAGGAGACCAGGCAGCAGTTATGAAGTCGTTCTGCATTCTGATTGCATCACAGGGTTTCGTGG